TGGTGGCCATGGTGTGGTAGTTGAACCGTGAGGAGCCACACAAATCACCTTGTGCGTATAATGACACACCATATCTCCTATGTCCAAACCATGTAACTAAGACGGCCAGTAATTAAAATTGCCGTGTCCGCATTTCAAACTAATACAGCATTGGGGACAAATGATGCTGATATAGCCTGGGTTACACTACGCGCTGCAAGTGTGCAACCTCCAAACAAAGACTGCTGGGTTCAGACTCATAACATCTTGTTTCAGAAGTATTTACCGGCATTCACGCAACGTGGCCGAAGGCTAGGTTGGTGTGCAATGGATCCTCGTTATTTGGTATAAACAGGTGTCTGCGCCTGATACACCCTCGCTCGGCCATTTAACTACAATCGGCTCGGCGATACATTAGTCACACTAAAACCTGCAAGGTCTGCTTGCACAAGAAAGCTTTAAGTTTCGTCTGCTTGAACAAATCACTTTTAAAATCGTTTTGAACGAATGCGACAAGACAGCTACTCTGAGATAAACAGATGTTGCTTGCCAAAAAAGCCCGGTCTTGAAAAATGTCTGACAAAATGTCTTGCAGGATTTGCGATTGTGTGGCTGGATAAGTACAGGAAGCTTTCTAGACAATTACTCAAATGGCTTATCAATGATTGAACATGAAAGCTCGACAACTTTCAACTGTATATATAGTTGGGTTGTCGTAATGCTTCAACTGTTACATTGTTGGCTGCAATTTCTTGCTGAAGTGTCAATCATCATATACTAAGTAGCCAGACGACGTTGATCAACCAAGAGACCGGAAGGCTAGTATGGACCTCTTGTAACAGAACTTTCAGGTTGGAATCCACATACAGTAGCACATGGAACCATGCAATGTATCGCATTCAGTACGGGTGCGCTAGACATGTGTGGTGTCCCCACAATTAACAGTATTGTATTCATCAGCAGCTTCAAGTTTGTCCTTCTGTAGCGCGTTTCCGCACAACTGAACACATGGTTTCAGTGCGCCGCTCTGTGTCTGTATGATACAGAACTGCGAAGCTCCGGGGATTCAGAGAAGGCGTCGAGTAGAAAACTCGGACCTGTCCCGCTTTTTGGTGCATGTTAGTCATGAATTGTAAATGATGATGCAATCCCTGCCTTGTTCAAGGTTCTGTTTTACACACCACGTCGAGAAACGCCCATGTCTCCCGATCACGCGTTTTAAAATGAATTGGACACGATGCTGCTCGACTTAAGATGCTATTTTACTTACATCGTAGAGGCGTGGATACGAGTTCTTAGGCCGGCTTTGTCGGTGCCAAATCTCTTCATCTTCATGTAGCTTCCCAAGCCCTCATGTACATGTCTCGCATCTAATATGACGTTGTGATCGATAACAGGGCCGACCTGGCCAGACAGTCCGTCTCTGGATCTAAACATGTTACGTACTTTGTAACACCCATTGACGTTATTCACGAAGCGAAGGCAACAAAGACATAACGCTCAGAATAACATCGAAGGAATCATGTGAACCTTGTCAAAGTTTATGTACTCACATGCACTCCAAAATGTACAGGCACGAAAAATGTAATGGAGAGGAAGGGGATTTCCTGGTACAGCCAACAACAACGATTAGGGAGGCGAGTAGGGCAAGGTTTCCTCGCATAGAAATCCATATTTATCATCAGGACTTTGTGTTCAATATCCGTTAAACCCCACTGGTTGGCGTAGATATGTTAGTCATGCAGGTTTTCCCGTGTGAATTCCACATGAGAACAATTCTCAGACAGTTTTGTGATCGGAAATTCCTTCGTAGAGCAGGGCAGCTAAATCACATAGAACACGTATTCCTTTATTAGGTTCTCTGGTCTGCATTGAGTACAGCAGAGTTGCATAAGTCATTTGAGGACTCAATGTGTGTGTTTTTACCTACTGCTGTACTACTTGGAAAGCAGCCATTTCGCGAAGTTCCCGTCTCCCCTTTGGAATACCAGAGGTCAATTTTAACCTGTTTGAGAGAAGAAGCGGTTGGGCATGCATGGTTGGGGAGTAATCATGTGTGAAGAATGTTGCTCTAACTCCTGCCACATCTTCCTCTGCGTAGCCCGTGAAGTCGCCAAGGAGTCAAGAACACCCCACAGGCACGTGTTCGCCTCACGAGCCACAGTTTGTCAGCGGCACCAGATAATGGACGGCGACGGCAGCGTTCGGGCCTCGCTGGTACTTGAAAGTTGAACGCCATTTGGCCACCCTGCGATTCCATTAAGCACCATATGTTATATGCGGCTGCGAAAATGGATGGACTCACAAAGTGCTCTACCTATCGCGAATAAAAGGAAACATCCATCAGGTCTTCAAAATGACGAGGAAATGAGTCCAGCATTTGAAAAGTATTCTGGGCCCTGGCAAATAACAAAGGAGCTACTGAGGGCTTTCTCGGCTTCAATGGCTGGTGTTTTTTTATGATGACGTGAAAAACTAGCACAGGCCACAGAAATGCCCAGCAGGGGCGATTACAAACGGCATTTAATGAACATTGGCACATGCAGAAAATCCTGATAGCGCCGACGATACGTGTCACATGGAAGACATGACCTTGGTACTCCTGTACCAGGACTTTGTGTTCAACATCCGTTAAACCCCACTGGTTGGCGCAGATATGTTAGTCATGTAAGTTTTCCCGTTAGTATTCCAAATGGAGCCTGGTGGCACAAGCAAGAGTAATGTACTGGCTCGAACAAATAGCAGCTTTATTATTATCGCCCACTTTTCACCCTTTTGACCGCCAGGGCCTTGCGTAGAACATCCCGTATACACCACTGGTTGGCTTAGATATGCCAGTCATGCGTGTTTTCCAGCAAGAATTCTAAAAGCGCTGTGAATTCTCGCTTACTCCGTACAGGTAACAAATGGAGCCTGGTGGCAGTAGGAACAAGCAAGAGTAATGTACAGGCTTGAACAAATAGAACCCCTTTACCAAGTCTTGCGAACCATTTGGAACACTCGACACAAAGTCCCTAGGGTAACATGAATGTTTCCCTTTTTTCACAATATAAATCGGCAAAAAAAGTTTAAGACAATGCTCGATGTATGAATACAAGGCGTTCTCCTAAGCCGGACATACTCTGTCCCGTAACCAACAGCATGGCACCTAGATCAGCACCAAGGACAGTGCCGTAAGCCACCGCAGCTGAACTCTGGCTTTATCGTCGTCTCGAGGGAAATATTGCTTTTTCTGCTTGTTTTTCTCAACGTTTCCAAACGTTTTCAATTCACGTCTGGGTAGGTTAGCCTCCTTTGCAGACATTCCGCGATCGGTCGTTTTTTTTTGGAGGGGGGGGGGGGATTTTCTGATCAAACCTAGATCGCACGCAATAGAAGCTCCGGCCGCCAACCGTACATAGCTATTAAAAAGACCGGTCCCGGAACGTCTGCACAGTAGGCTATGGTAGGTAGACTTCCACTAAAGTAAGATCTCGCGAAGGGAGGGCCGTCTTGTAGTCTTGACTGGCGCTCTGTCCACCCCAGGGTTCCGTCTTATCACGAAACAGCAGAAATAGCATTTTAGTGCCTCGCCTCATGTCGGCATCCTCCGGGCCACAGTCAGAGATCACGTCTGATCTCGGACAACGACACGGAAAACCCTTATTACCTTCTATCGCTACCACAGTGAAAGAATTGCCCTGCAAGGGATGGTAAACAGGCCCTTATCTACATCAAGGGCTGCATTCCAACAGGCATGCTATTACAGCTTAAAAACCAATTTCTGTCAGCTCAACTTTACCTGAGCAAATACAAGAGCGGCACGATGGCTAGGGCGTATGTAAGAAACATGTATTCATCACAGCTCACGGCAATCGGTGCCAAGGGAGTGTCGTTGAAGCCGACCATCTACTGGCATCAGGGGATCGTGGAAAGCCGTTTATGTAATACACTTCATCTTCAAGTGTCACGCAAAGCGATTTGTTTAAAACATTATTCACGGTGGAAGTTGAGATTTAACATTCGGTACCATGTACATCTGTATTCTCTCTGGAACAACTTGTTATGCGTTTCCATAGCAAGGTTTTATTCTTAGCTTGCTAAAACAATGAAAAATTGCCAATTACCTATTAACTTTTTACCTCATAAGACATGATGGATGTGTCTACAAAAACAATTAACTACGAGTTTATGCTATTTCCGATTCTTTCGTAGGCAAATGACTAATTGTTCAATTGCAGGATACATGTAGTTACCATCTGGTCCGACACTCGGGGGCCATATGTTGTTTCACAGTTAAATTTGCCGTAAAGCTGAGACCCATTCATCAAGGACTTTGAACCGATTCTGCACAAGCAGATTCACTTAATATTCAATTTCAACAAGTAAAAGAGACCAATGACAACAATCAGACTGATTATCGGGTTAACATGTCTGCATTCTTACCAGATAGACCCATTATTAATCATCGGATTGATACAAGTAATTACTTGTTAAGACAATTAGTGAAGCCAACATGCTGATTATATAATTAGTATCATAAAAACGTAACCAGATCGCCTTCAGCTATCGGCAATTCACTTAATCCTCCCATGTCATCGTTATGAACACTAATTACCAAGGATTATAATTCATACTACAGAGTTCCAAAAAATGATGACCATACGGCGCCTTTGCTTTGAATGCCCTGCTTACTAACAATGATTCATAACTCAGTAAAAACGTGCTTGGGAAAAAGATTTAACGTCACGTTTCCGTTTTACAAATTAACTGGAGGGTTTTCAATATTTCCCATAGCCGTGCCGAGCGACTCAACCCGAGAACATAACGGCTGCTGCTATTGAACCAGCCCAGCTGATGTCACAGCCCTTTGAAAATGTATTCTGGCTGGCGGTTGGCCTGTGGAAACTTAATGCCCCACGACCATTGGAGGAGTGAGGGATTGTGGTTGAAACTGGAGCTGTAAGAGTCAGTGCAGTACCGCTGTGGTAGAGATTTTAGACGAGAACAAATCATGACGTCGGTGTCGTTTTTCGGTACAGGAGATGTGGACTCCTGGACCAAGCCGCCACAGCCTCCGCCCAAGACCAGCGACAAGTTCATCCCGTCAGCTATGAACACGACGCTGAACGTCACGGGCGCCGGCTGGGACCCGCACCACTTCCCACCGGACATCGACGGTCAGAACTTCACGGCGTCCGCGGGCGCCGTCGTCTGGACCGGGCCGGTCATCCAGCGGGTCGCCACCATCATCGTCCTGATGATCATGACCCTGGTGGGCAACTGTCTCATCATCGTGGTTCTCACGTGTAGCTCGGCCAAGAAGAGGTTCAGCAGAGTCAACTTCTTCATCCTCCACCTGGCTATCGGCGACCTGCTGGTGTGTGTCGTCACCATGAGCACGGAGATCATGTTCGTGGCGTTCGGGCAGTGGGTGCTCGGGGAGGCCCTCTGCAAGCTCATCGTCTACGGACAGATCGTCACGCTAGCCAGCACCACCTTCATCCTCATCGCGCTCAGTTTCGACCGCTACATCGCCATCACGCGTCCGTTAAACATCAACAAGAACTCGACCACCGCGGCGAAGAAGACCATAGCGTTGGCGTGGTTCCTGGCCTTCCTCTTCGCCGTGCCGCAGCTCTTCATATTCGTGCAGGTGGAGCGGCCAGCGCCCGACGGGACGCTGAAGTACGCCTGTGTCAGCCAGGGGTACTCGTCGGAGTGGCAGCGGAAGGTTTACGTGACGTGGCTGGCCATCTACGTGCTGGTGTGCCCCTCCAGCATCATAACGTACTGCTACATCAAGATCATCCAGACCGTCTGGAGAACCGCGTCCGGCAAGGACATCGAGCGGGACCTGCGCCGGACCGGCTGCAAAACCATCTCCAGAGCAAAAGTTAAGGTGAGTTGCCTTCGTTTTTTCCCGAGCTAAATATTGTTTGTTTGTTTGTTCGTTCGTTCGTTCATCGTTTGCTTGCACAATACAATATAAACAGAATAAGTAGAAAACTATATAAAAGAAAAATTGCAGGGGGGGGGGGTCAGAAGACTACAGGACTTGTACAAGGCCCTCCTCCTTGCTTACTTATTTAGCAAATGACAATCATGAAATTGATGTGATGATTGAAAAGAAATTACCGGAAAAGAAATATATATCAAAGAAAACTAACAGATATAAATGAATACCATGAAACTAATATGATAATTAACAAACTCTCTTAACCGCAGCTGGAATCATAGGTTTAATCAGTAAGACTTTTGACCAGATTTTATGGAGCAGAAAAAGAAGAAATTTTCAGATCACACACATACAAACAGTGGAAGAGAAAGAAATGCAGAGATAGAAAGTGAAAGACAGACAAAAAAGTATTGGTATAACTTAAGGTGATATAATTCTCGCTTCAAAATGAAATTTTGATAAGTTCGTTTCCCCAGGGAATTCATTCCAAAGTCGTCTTCATCTCCCCGTCATTGATGGGTAGATCTAATTTAGAACTAACGTCATCACAAGCTGTGGCGTTTATTTTGTCATAAGAGTACAGAGATAAGCTAATGAGAAGAAAGTGCGGCGCTGCGGAACCTCTCCCTGCCTGCTGCGCGTGTCCAATCAATCCCCGGCATGGCGGGGGTGACTGATGGAACCAAAAGGCGCTTCTCACTTACTACACCAACTTAATAAACTCCGCACAGACTCTCTACTTTTTCAAAAGTTTTCCATTTTCATCATGACTCGTGAAGTTGAGTGCCCTCTGGAGAAGGAAGGAGATTCTATACCTATCTATATCAATGGTTTATTTGCATTAAAACACAACAACACTGTCCCAAAAATGGCAGCCAGAGGCTGAATTGACATTGGGGCATCACATTATTAGTATAAAACGTCATATTAAGCGATTAAAATAGAAATAAACCATTACATAAAATGTATATAAAATATTGTCAACAACATTTCAAGTGCAAATTAATATCGTAGCAGATAACAAAACAGACGGACACTGGTAACACTAAAATAAGTCTTAGGTTAAAAAAAAGTGACAGTGTTACATATTAAGCAGGCGGATCATGAAAGGAAGGGCACTATTCTGATAACGATTAGTTCTGCTGCGAGGAGTGTTCAGTTTATAAGCTGATCTGGTTTGACGACCACTTATTGCACTTCTAACAGGTGGCAGAAAATGCCGGAACTGTTCAGACTGTCTAAGAGAGTTCGCAAAGTTCACAGTCAGGAGAAGGCGTCGTGACTGTAGGGTAGGTAGTCCCAGGTAGGAGCAGCCTTCAGTGTAGGATGTGTACTTCGTACCCATAATGATGCGCACTGCTCTCCGTTGGATCTTCTCAATCTTGTTGCTGAGTTCAGTGGTAAGTCCAGAATGCCAGACGGGGGCAGCGTACTCGAGAACTGGGCGTATATAGGACACATAGACTGTGACGAGGTCTTCTGAGGAGATGTGAAAGTGTTTCAGTTTGCGGAGAAGGAACAAGCGCTGGCTGGATTTGCAGCAAATGGAGTCAACGTGAGAGTTCCACCGCAAGTTGGCCTGGAGAAACACGCCCAAGATCTTCATTCCCTGCACCTGTTGCAGTTCGATACCGTTCACTGAGAGGGGAGGAGCCACGTACGGTACTTTGCTGAAGAGAATGTGTAACACTTTACATTTTGCGGGATGGAGTCTCATGTGACTGTCGTTGGACCAGTTCTCCAGGTCGGTCAGATCCTTCTGAATGTTAGAGGGTGCAGAGATCGGGTGCCTGACTTCAAGAAGGTTCAGGTCATCTGAACAGACCGGTGAGGTGTGATGTATCGTTAATAGGTGCCTTCATCTGTCTGGCATCAGAAACCCGCGCTCGTGGGGAACTAATTCATGTACATCTAAAGCTACATTAATTCTAATCAGCTCCACTGGAGCGCAGTGTGGGGATTTGTGAGCGATCATTCATTCATTCATGACTGCTACATTCATATTGTCACGAGTAAAGGCTGAATCGTGCACATTCACGATGTTGGATGATTTGGTTATCTCTACTACAACATAAGAATATTCAATTGAATTTGAGACATGAACACATGACGTCAAGATAACAGAAGGAGGGCAGTGATGCATTCTGAATAAAATATTTTCCTCTGTCCCTCCGCCTCGTTATCAATGTATCCCCCTGATATTCAGCTAAGGTCACATTTCCATGTTTTCGTAAACAAAAAAAAAACAATTAATACCTAGAACATGCACAAATAGCGCTCCTGGTAACAGGTAGGATTTACTCTGATACACACGACTAAAGTTTTGTAAAGCGTAGAAACTTTTATTCGGCCATCTTTCTTCAGCTGCTGACGAAGGCAGTCACGTGACCCAGAGGTTAAGAGGTCAGCAAAGGTCACGTGACTGGACGAGTAAAGTGCTCATTACTTTATTTTTTTAAACATTTTTTAGTTTTGTTGTCTTACCTTCGTACCATCGTACATCATACTTTCGTTCCAAAACTGCCCGGCCGGGCCCCGGCTTTGTAATTGTGACCTTAGCATTAGATGAACACGTTTCTGAGAGAACTACCATCTGTTGCCACAGACAATAAAGAGGTAGCCAATTAGGAGTGTAGACGATTATCAGAAAAACACGTCTCAAGATAGTGCATAGACAGTAGACATTCGATCAATACTGTATAATGTACCTGATCCTAGTTCTGAAGTTTTAATTTTCCTCACGTTTTCGTCTCCTGTCGTACATTTCAGACGATCAAGATGACTCCAAGATAGACATAGTGACTAGACAGTAGATATTCGATCAATACTTTCACAATTGTTGAGCAATGCAACTAAACCTATGACTGTGGTGTTTCTTCGGTTTTAATTTTGCTTTTGTCGCCTGTCGTGCATTTCAGACGATGAAGATGACCCTCTGCAACATCATCCCTAAGATAGACATGGTGACTAGACAGTAGACATTCGACCAATGCTTTTACAATTGTTGAGCAATGCAACTAAGCCTATGACTGTGGTGATTCTTCGGTTTTTCTTACACCTTCTTTCCTGTCGTACATTTCAGACGATCAAGATGACCCTCTGCATCATCATCGGGTTCGTGACGTGCTGGACGCCGTACTTCGTCGTCACGCTGTACGAGGTGTTCACCGGCAGTAAGCTTCCCGAGGTGGCGTACGTCATCGCCGAGACCATGGCCCTCTTCAACTCCACCTTCAACCCCATCGTGTACGGCTGCTTCAGCCTCAACCTCAAGCAGGGACTGATCGAGATCTTCTGTCCCAAGAAGCTGAAGGGAAAGAAACGGAGAAAAGCCACTCCGCTTCTGACGGACGACGTTATGTTAACTCACAACAGATCCTCCCAGCTCCGCAGTAGACTACAGAAGAAACTGAGAAATAAGAAGAACCGGGAGATGTCGATAGCGAGTAAGTACGTCTCCTCGACACCGGCCGTGAAGACGGCACCGGAAGTGATTGAACTGAACAAACGGAAGCAATCGACAGCTAACGGGGAGAATGTTGCCAAGGTGCCGCGAATCTTCATCAACTGCGACTCTGTTTCCCAGGAGTCAGAAGACAAACAGCGCGTTCATCAGGCAACCATAGAACAGAAACCCAGGCCAGAAGTTGTGGCGGTGACGGTGGATTACCTCCGGGTCATCCAAAACGTGCTGGAACTGGAGTCTTCAGAGTTTATCAGCACGTTTGGGGAGACACACGACGAGGGCAGGACGGGCTTAGATGTTCCCGGCACCGGGCCTGACACGTCCGACCTGTCTGACACGTACCGGGAATACGAATCAACCTGTTAGAGAGGGGAACAACTTCTCGGAATGAACAAGACACTCGACGTCGTGAATACAAACTGCTTTCTCTAGTGCCATCCTCGTAAAAGAGTTTGAAATGGCTCCGATGAATGTAGACACTAACTAGCAGCGTCAAGAAGTTAAAAGTCTTCTAATGTTTGCATTCTCAGTCCCAGATTTGTCTAGTAGATGGGCTGGATCCCTGTCTTGTGAAGAAAAGAACTTTGAGCTTTTTAAAACACAGCAGCTGAGAATTGTGCAATACTTAATTGAGTATGGACGCAGCTTACTGTCATAGAATGATAAGTGTAAGAACGTTAGCTTAAGCATCTAGATAGGTAGAGTATTGTTTTAACAAGAAACCATCAGTGTAGAAAGTTAGTCAACCTGCAGTGTCAGCCTTAACATAGTGTCTCCGCGTTACAAGTAGAGCTATATCTTAACTGCACAGCAGTCCGATAACAAAAATTCTAGGACTCTCCGCTCTACGCACAAATAACAATATCTTCATGGTGTAGGTTTGACGGAGTTCATCAAAGTCTCTGAATATCATCAGGGTATTTTAAATGAAGAAGTATCACTGTACACTATAGTGTTGTGTTCGTTATTTTGGTCTGAGGTAGTAGGTATGAATTCTTCTTCTGTGAAGTAGGTGAAGGCATTTTTTTTCTTCAGCAATGTCTTTAACTCATTAATGTTGTTAAAAGACCAGCCAAAAACTTAGGGCATGTTTAAAGTTCTGCTTAGGATATGTACAAATAATGTGACAGAGATTTAAGATAACACTAACACATTTAGGAAACAGTATGGGAAGCATTTTGCCTTATCTTAGGCCTTAGTTCCGTCAGTACCATATAAAGCACATTGTAACACAGCTTTCGTGAAGTGCATTATCATTATGAAAATGGTAACACGGACAACTACAGGCATCTCATCTCAACAAAGAGCAATGTAAGGTGAAAATTAACGGTTTTCTATATCATCAAGTGCGAGGCCTCCGCTTTTAGTGTTGTAACATTACCTACTGATGTTCAGTGGGGAGATCGATTGTGTCCGGGTGAATTAAAGTAGAGAAGTGAAGTGAAGAAAAACGTCCGTGTGTGTGTTTATGTTTCACGCGAATTTCTTTTTACCTTTAGAACATGCTAATACATGCATTTAGCTGGTAGTTACAGCATAGAGTCTGCCACCGCTGGGCGACTAAACAAATGACAGATCGTTCAAAAAAATTCGAATTTCATACATCGTGAACACATTTTGTCACGTTTTGTGTGCATTATGTCTTTTAATGTCTAGTTGGCTGCCCCCGAGGCAGCTTACAATGCAGAGAATTTAGGACAAAGGACAACTTCACGCAATACAGATGTAGAACTTCTAGATTTAAGAATGGCACATTAACTTTTAGCGTTATTAAATGACTTATAATCAATTGTAAGTGTCTCATAGAGCATTTTAATCGTCTCATACCCCAATTCAGCCATGTAAGGCTGCAATGGCATGTTTGTGCAGAGTTTGCAAATAAACCAGTCATAAATCAATCAATAACTTGCCACCTACGGGAGTGATATCAAGATATAAGGTAATTTTTCATCATTCATCATATTCCAGTCATGAGATCGAGAGTCACACAAATTCAATTTTGTTCGTTCAGCATACCTCTACTTATCCTTCGTGCTGAATTCCTATTGTTGCTGCCAGGACTAAGCAAGAAAATGGTTTTTACACGTCCCCTGACAGTAAAATGAACCACTTTGCAATAAACGTCCAGACGGCGTTTTACGGACCGTTCCAGGGCGGTATTTAGGGTTAACGATTAACGTTTAACTGCGCTTCATGGAAAGACGGAGTGCCAATTCCGCATGGCGCCAGATTAGAAACCTTTTACAGGGCGTTTTACACAAAATGTGATGCAGATTTCAGAGTTCTGTAAAACCGTGGCGTTAATACAACATTTCCACGTCAAGTGAGGAATCCGAATAACGCCATGGTGAAGGTAAAGTTAAGTGTTTTTGGTTTCATCAAAATACGTGACGAATGCGAAAGGGCGCAGGCCTCATCTCAATGATGAACACCATGACTGGAACTGAGGGAAATTATAGGGAGCAGGGATTTTACGATGGCCATCATTTTGCTAGCGCTCTGGTTCTCTCCCCAAAAAAATAGCAGCCGCTGTAGATTTTCCTATACAAAATCCAAGCACCCAGCTGGTGGTATTAGTGGGCTATCGTTCAGACTCCGTCAGCCATTTACTCCCACATGATTTGTTCACCACATCAGGGGGATTTTCACTGTCGGTAGTCATGTCAAACAAAAGCTTTGAATGTCTTTATATATAGTATCAAGTCTTAGCCTAGCGTTTCATAACCGAATTTCAATCATGTAAATAAAAGGATGACATACATCGCCCCTAATGCATGTGGCACCATTAGAGATTAATCCACACCAAAGCACCAACTTCTACAGAAGGCCCGCCTAAGTAATGTTTGTAATTTTCTCAGTCTTCAAACGTTTTTCATAGATGATATTGGTAATTTCCTATCTTCAAACGTAACTCTCAAAAATCACTATGATTCTCTGAATAAAATGATCGCCTGTGTTCGCCCAATGATTTTCTTACAATGGTCTTTAGCTGGCAAGCTACATGAGTAGTGGACAGTGGACACTCAAGTTTTAAGCGGTTGACTACCGAAAAGTGCACGTGGCTCTAGTTATAAACGTTGGAAGAATGTATAGGACTAAAAGATCTGATTATTTATCCCAATTATTTAGCACCGTAATGTATTTTAATGTAAAAAACGTGCTAAACGTTTTTCTTGGGATAATTGTATTTTTATTAATTTGTTTATTTTTTTGCTAGTATATGTATAACACAATCACCTTTTAGTGAAAAAATGGGATAACACCCCTGCCATCCCATTTTTTTACTAAAAGGAATATAACACAATCACCTTTTAGTGAAAAAATGGGATAACACCCCTGCCATCCCATTTTTTACTAAAAGGAATATAACACAATCACCTTTTAGTGAAAAAATGGGATAACACCCCTGCCATCCCATTTTTTTACTAAAAGGAATATAATCCAAAAACCTTTTAGTGAAAAAATGGGATAACACCCCTGCCATCCCATTTTTTTTACTAATAAGAATATAGCACGAACACCTATTAGTAAAAAAATGGGATAACACCCTGTTCATTCAACCATATGGTTACCATTAGCTCGCAGTGACCGGTCGCCAGTTGGGTTGGGTCGGGTCATTGTTATCCACCACCTGAATGTTATACAAATCTGTCTTAAACAAAAACACCCTGCGGGTGCAGTTAATGAGTTATCGCATCACTCTTGCGGCGGAGTAATACCGCCACCCAAAAACGCTATAATCTAACGCCTTTTTAG